CCCGTTCTCTCTCCCTCTTTCTCTCCCTCTTTCTCTTTTGTTCTCTATCATCTCTTCTTATCTCACTCTCTGTCCCTCTGTCTCTCTCTGCCTCTCTGTCTCTCTGTCTCTCTGTCTCTCTCTCTCTCTCTCTCTCTCTCTCTCTCTCTCTCTCTCTCTCTCTCGCTCCTCTCTTACTCTCTCACACAAGCATATAATATCATCTTCTTTTACTTTTACATATGGTGGGGTGGGGTTAAATTAGGTTGGATGGATGGGGTGGAGGTTGGAAGGGAAGGTGTGATTTGTCTATTTTGAAAGCCATGTCATTAAAATTAAATAGGGAACACGAACAATATGCTAAAAATATCTCACGTACTGTACACATTTTTAGTTCAGGCCGGTGTTCCACCAAAAATCTCAAATTGATTAAAGCTTTATGGATATGATCCCAATTAAAACAAATGCCGGAGCCAAGGAACCCAATTGATTATTATACTTCCTGATTTCTCCGAACAAATTTTAATGCAACTATATTAGTAATTGTAGTATCCCCTTTCCCCCCACCACCACCACCACCCACAAGCAATAAAACCTTTTAGGAAGCGGGCTGCTTTAGCCTTGCGTATCAGGAACAATCCAGGTTTAACAGGATTCGCATTTTGTTTTAGCTTGAAACAATAAAGAGTGTTAACTGTTACTCCATAAATGTATAAATACTGCACTGGCGCCCCCCCCCCCCCACACACACTATAAAAACAATTAAGAATCCGATGTTCTTGCAAATAACACCCAATAAGCTCAATCTGGCCTTAAGTACCCCTTCAATTTTGCACGATAATAAATGCTGTTTTGGGGAAAAGGGGAAAACGCATGACGCTTCCATCAGATCTTAAAAAAAAATGTAATTGGAAAAGTTGTGTGCGCCCCCCCCCCCCTCCCAACTGACTTTATTTAGATCATTTAGGAGGCATTCTACTTCGACCCAGCCTATCAGGGCCTGTCCAGACTTAGACTGACACAACGTCTCAGCAGAAAGAAAGAGGAACTCGGCAAAAGCTCTTTTCACACGGGAATAAAACTCATTTTTACTATGTGTGCGGCCAAATGCCGATTTACGCCGCCACTGTCTGCCAGATTAAACTGAGAGAAAGAGCATACTACTTGCCCGTTGGAGCGTAAAAAGTGGAAGAAACTAAAAGTTCTATCTAGGGTTAGACAAAAAGAGACTCGTGCAGCTGATAATAACGCTGATATATCACGAAGAGCACAGAAGACTTCTTTTCAATATCAATAAACAATAAAGGTCGTTGCTGTTTTTGTTTGTATGGGGGGCGGGGGGGGGGGGGCATTTGCTTCAGGGAAACTTTATGGAAAGAGAAATGACTTTTATCATGTACGTCTGAATACTTTACACAAAAGAATAATATCGATATCTACTGTTTCAACCACTGAACCTGTATGCCTTTTATCATGTTTATTGTGTGTGTGTATGTGTGTGTGTAACCTTCCACAAAATGAAACAGATACTAACAAACATCAATCAGTCACTGGGAACGAGAAAAACAGTACTGAAAAGTTACATCGAGCCAATCCTATTGTACGTGTGCGAAGCATGGACAATCAATAAACAGCTGGAACGAACAATTGTGGCGACAGAGTTGTGGTTCCTAAGACGCATGCTTCGTATCCCATGGACAGCTAGAAAAACACTTGAAGAAGTCTGTGTTGAAGCAGGTTGTAGAAGACAGCTTATGACGAATATAAGAAAGCGACAAGCAAATTTCTTCAGACACACAATGCAGAAAGAAGCATTGGAGAATATTATAACAACAGGCAAGTTTGATGGAAAGAGAGGCAGAGGCAGACAGAGGGAAAAGATACTGGACAAGACGACAACATAGCTAGGAGCAG